TACGTGTTTAACAGCGAAATGTAAGAATACGCGATTAACGGAATGCCATCTCGTTTCATTGTGATCCGATTGTTTCTCCGCCAGCGCGTAGGTCCTTTACCGAATAAACGCATATGATATCGTAATGCCATGGCGCAAGGGCGCTCGTTGCGGATGCGTATAATCCTCTTTTATTGAGTTCCTGTCCGACGCAGCTTACGCAATAAGGGCGCGAGGTGTCACAACGGAAGTGCTTTTTACGATGATGGAATGATACGTGATATGAGCCCCTTTCCCTCGGAGAAAACGTGCAATCCCGCGATAAACGAGACGTAACGCGCCTGTAATTACGTAACGGTACGTTCTGTTGACTTATTGTATAAGTATTATGATTTATCGAAGCGAGAGCGTATTTCCATTGTGCGAGCTGAGAGTGATGCATCGTCGCAGTCAGGTACGGGAAATGCTTATTACGATTTAGTACTATTATGCATATATATATATATATATATATATATATATATATGTATGTAAACTTGCTACACGTGTATTATTACCATATGCAACTATGTGTACACAATAAATGTAAGTATTACTACGCGATTTCTGTAAAATGCTGTGCGAGCAAACGCCTCGTTGTAATGCGCGTACGTTTTATAACGTTACTCGGCATCATAGATAGGTTTATCGAAGTGTAGATTTTGCGTAGATCTGATCGTGGCTCCCGCGTGGAGAAAGCGAAGCAAAGAATTCTCTGAACTAATTTCCTTCTCTCACCGTCGCTCGCGTACATACACGTCAGATTTAGCGAATGATAGAAAAAAAGATTTTTTTGTGTATAATTACCGAAAATCTTTTGACAATTATTTTAGTTTATATCGGTAGCGCCCTCGAACGCCGAGGCGCCGCGAACTATTATTCCCGATAATCGAGTCCGAGTAGTTTTACGACGGATTTTTCCCGCTAGAGACGAACCGCGACAGATTGAGCGCTACGTACAAAAAAACCGCTGTACATTCTCAGATGCGTCGGACGAGAAATTAGGAGACTCGTTTAGAGGTAACACATAGGAGAGAATAAAATGCGATCATGTCGAAAAGAGACCAACTTAGAGCAATTTTATCGCACTTCTCCCCCCTCGATGCGTTTTCTTTTCAAGGCAATAGACGTTTCATGCTATTTTATAATATCCAGGAGATGATTTATAAGTGACTGAACCGCGTGAGTCGTGCCGAGCTTCGCGCTCAGCTCTACGCGGCGATGCAATTTGTTGTCGCGCGATGCAATTTCCGTTTACGTTCACATTCGGACAGATATAACTCCCGACAGTACACTGTACGTTTATATTCCCGCTAAATGCCGAATAAATTATTATTTTTTATGCTGTATAACAATTCCTCTTTTCCATCTCGTCCGGCCTTTGCGCAGAGTCGCCATCGCTCGCGGTATCAACGATAATATATTTTACAATTCTCATTATCTTTCTAGGTTATAATGTTCGAGCTTGTTTTTGCTACTGAAAGTACGTAGATTTCGATTAAATATATTTTCACTGAATAAATTGTACATTAAAATCACAAATGCGTATGTATACGTAATTGCGGCAACAGAGGAAAGAGGGGGGAGGAAGATGACAAAATGGGTAAGATGATGATTTGCTAATTTTTCTAAACTAGTAACAAATAACAAGTCGATGCCCAACATATTGTCAGAGGCTTTAAATAATAATTAATAATTTGTTGTAGTTTGGCTTCAATCTGTCAAAGATAGTAGATAATATAATAAGAAATGTATTTTAGGTATATTCATACATAGTATTATGGAATTTCTTCATGAAAATTTATATAATTATAGTAAATATTTTCATTTTCTCCATATAAAAAACTACTATACATTATATCTAAAGACGCATATAATAACGTATTGTTATTTTTCATTTCTCTCATATTCCCTCTGCGATATTTTGTTAATTCGATAAATAAATATAATAATCATGGGACAAGATGATATATTGTGTGTGAATATCACGTAAAGAGTTGTTTTTATTTTTGTTCTTATTTACATTTTATTTTCTTTAAGTTTATATTGTCAGAAATAATATTTTTTGTTTTTAAATATTATTTTTATTTGTACTTTATTTGTACTTTATCGTGCTGTACAGACATTATAATGACAAAATAATATAAAAAGTGCGTGAAGATTATTTTTTATGTGCATAAAAAATTTATTTTTAACCTTCATCATCTTATCTATATATAGGGAGGTAAGCTGACGACATTGACACGTCATTCTTGAAAGATTTAAATTCCAAAAATTTTCAATTCATTTATAGATTTTTCAATTGATGCAGATAATAGACATTAGCTACGCAGAAAAGAAATAGATCATTATTTCTATGTCACTGCGCAAATGAGGAAAAATCGACAAACCTTACGGTCGTTGTCTTACCCTCCTTCCCCCTTTTCATCCCTCTCGTGGAATCTACATTTTACTGAGAAAGGTGTGCCTCAACGCGACATAATCGCCGCAGATGACTAAGGCGCGAGACACTATTTGGCAATTACACACCTCTTGACTCACTTCTCGCGAAAGTTACGTAAGTGCGCCACTTAACGGCGGCCCGCGGTTAATCGGTTAACGACACTCCATGAACTTTATCGCGGCGCAAATATAGAGAGAGCAACGCGATTTCTACTCCGCTTCTCTAATAATAGCAGTCGTCGATTTCTTCCCCGGCAGCAAGATAAGGACTCGCGCGTCGCGATCCGCAATTACGAGCCGGATTTGGACGCGCGCGCAATCGGCGGTATCGATCGGCGCATAGATTCCGCGAAAGCGTATATGGCGCACTTCCTTATCCGAATTTAGTGCGGCGTACGAGAACTCTCTTCGATATCGGGGACACGTTGAGTAAAAATAAAGAGCCCGTAACGACGCGACGCGACGACCGTTCGCGGATCCAGTTCGAATCGGCTCGATCGCATAAAAGGACACCGGCTAATTTTTTATTCATGACGCCTGACATTGCGCCGCTCTCGCACGCCTGCTCGTGCGCGACACATTTTTCCATGCCGCCGGGAGGATATTCCTCGACTCTCAAGCGGGCGACTCGCTTCGTCGTCACGGAGGTGTATCCGGTTACGCGGGGTGTCGGGTTAAATACACCCCGGTTGCCTTAAATATGAAATGCAGCTCGCGGATCTCGTGCGTTTCCCAAAGAGCATTATGCGAATCTGGAGATACTATGCTAATCCGGGACTCCCGAGGCTCACCCACCGCGACGACAGCGCGAGAGGAAAATTATTATTTAACATTTTTCGAGGGGCCTTTCCGGGAGGAGGACGTTTCACTCTCATAGCGATTTCTGCCAACATCCGATTTTACGATATTTTCGCGATCGTCCGTTTACCGGTAACGACTCGCGCTTCGGCATTCGGTGTCCACGAAAAAAGAACGGCCGAAACTACACCGGTGCCGCGCACCGCTCTCGTGTGTGCACCTACTACATACATATGTGCGCACCGAGTCTGGCCGCGATCGATCGTAAACAAATTTCTGGCGGGGCATTGATCCATCCTTGAGACGCATCGATCGCAGCTGCCGACCGACGTCACGTACCTCGGTCGCCGACAGTATCGCAGTGCGGAACGTGCATACACGATGCGCCAGGTCGCTTCTTTCGCACGAAAATTTGAAGCCAGTCCGGCCGGCGTCAATTCGCAAGAGGAACCAAGTTCCTTTTTCTGAGAAAAAAGCGCTACCGTTCAAACAATAATTACAATAAAGATGATTATTAAAGATAACTAAAATTAATTTTCACTCAGTTCTAATGTCAAGGGTTTTTTTTATAACGCTTTCCTAACGAGTTTATCTGTAATAAATTTAATATGATATCAATTTTTTTGAAGGTGGATGAAGTCTACTTTAAAAAAAGAATTGATATTATATTAAAATAGGATAATATGGAATAGATTAGATAAAACGAAATACTTCATTTATCTCGCAAGAGAGTAATTTTTCTCGTATTTCGATTAATATTAATGACCCAATAGTCTATAGTAATTATTATTCAACATCATATATCTCCGTCCGCTTTGTATCGATATCGAATCGAGGTTCTTATGCCTACTTGGTAAGATTAATTACATTTTTACATCTCCTTATTATCAACAAATTAGATAATAATTTTTAATCTTTTTGAGACAATTTTGGGACATCCTGTATATATATATTACTCACCATAACGTCACCATTATTAAAAATAGAACTTAAGCTCAAGTTCACAAATATAAATCTTCTAAAACCGTGGATTTAAAATTAGTCTCGCGCCTACAACTTTGAAGACGCGTGTTTACAACTTGGCTCACCAAGCCGAGTCCAGCCGTGAAATCAAGCTGACTCCAACAAAAACACAGAGCTTATTCAGCTTGATCGAAACTAACAAAAGTAAATTACCATCGCCGCGAAATCAGTTCCCATTATCAATCTGCGACAAGACGATGTTACTTTCATCCTTTCGCAACGACAAGAGAGACAAACGTTGTCATTACGCGAGCCTGCTAACGCAGCTCGTAAAATTATCTCGAAGATGAAGCGCGCCTAAATCACAGAGAACTTTCGAGAGTCTTTCTAATCTAACAAGGAGAATTATCTCTCCCCGGGAGAAGATTCTTCGCAAAGTTACGACATTTCTCATAACGTTCTCTTCTCGATAATCTTCATCCAACTGTCCCATCTGGTACGCCGCGCTCCGTCTTTACGGTCCACTATTTCGCGTAATGCGCATTGCATAACGGTTCGACGTTCCCGTAATCCCGATGCGCGAGAACCGAACGCGGTATCGCCCACGCGACGCACCTGTGCACATTCGCGCAACGAAAACAAGACCGCGCGTCCGCTGATATTCGTGACACGTCCCACGTGCCGGAATTCCTGCACCCTACCCGATGGATCCCGCGGGATTTATTTTCGGATACGCGGTATGACGCCACCGCACGCGTTTACAGTAGTGCCGCGCCGCACGGATTCGCCACACGATTCCTCAGTGAGACGCGCGGCTGGCTGCCGCGAGCCACGCGCGACGATTAATCGATATATTCGTCCGATCGAATACCCGATATCGATTCCCGAACGAAACACGAAGAGTCATCTGCGTGCGTGAGACGCGCTCAGCCGGAGAGCGAGGAAAAATTTCTCGCTTTCGAGTCCGCTGCTGGAGGAAGGTCGGAGGAGCGGAAAATTGGATCTGCGATTTCCACGGAGATTCGTGTGTCAAACTGACATCTCTCGTCGATCGTTACCGATCGCGTATGTTATCGTCTCGTTACTAAACGCCGCTGGAAACGTATTATACGGAGACGCGTTATAAATAGACCGGGCAAAATTTCACCAAGGTTCGAACGGGAGTTACGCGCTTTCATCGAGCGCGCGCTCGCATGCATCATCGAGACGTATTTCATAACGCGGCCAGTGGTACAGACAGCGGTGTGGTATCATTTCGCGAGCAGCCGGACTCGTCGTCCGCTCCTGCAAATTACAAGCGGCGTGCTGGAACGCGCGGAAGATGGATCGTCCGCAACGCGAGATGTGAGACCGCGCCTCCGTCTTTGCGAAGAGGAAGAAAGAGGCCTCGTCGTCCCGCGAATTCTGACAGGCTGCCAAGTCGCGTCGCGCGAGGTCGCGTTACATAAGCGCAACCCCGCCGATCGCGTTGATCATGTGACCAATGCGATTCGGCGACGGAGAGCGCGTGTATTCACGCTCGCTCGGAAAACGGTACCGCTGCAGGTTTGAATCGGGGCTGATCGAGCGGACGGGCCGAGCGGGATTCTCAATCATGCGACCGTTCGTTCCGCTTGCGTCTCGCCGATCGTGAACCGCTTCTCGGACGACGCTTGCGTGAGGAGACCGCGTCTCGGTGCTGTGAACTTGGTGCGCGAATCGTGTAATTGAAAACTTTTTATTAACTGATCTATATATATATATATATATGTGTGTGTGTTAAATCGCATTGTTAGAATGTAGAAGAGATTTCGAGGTACAAAAAATCGCCTCGTCTGGGAGCAAGGATTGGCCGGGTGAACGGCACGTGAGCGAGCGGGCGCTTCGGCGAAACGAGACAACGGTCTCCACACTGAGGAACCCATAAAATTCAGCGAGGCAAGGCCCGTTAAGAAGTCAGACGACGAACCCGCCCGGGACGTGGAATTAATCGGGGCGATCGAGCGAGTGGTTTTTCCCGCAGATTACAGGAGCAAGCGAGAAAGGGGGAGAGAGAGAGAGAGGGGGAGAAGAAGAAGAAGCGAGAGAAAGAGCAAGAGAACCGGGACCATGAAGAACGCCCATCCGATCATCAGCGCGACGGCTTCCAGTCCGGTCGGTCCGGATTCCACGGACCTCGGCGAGCCGATCATCCGGCTGAAGCTGCAGAAACCGCTGCACTGGGAGTGGGAGCTGACGACGTCCGCCGACGCGCTTCCCGTCATCCAGCTGTTGGACAAGGACGGCCGGCTGTTGGTGGAAACCACCGGCAGAACGGCGCAGCGAGCCAGAGGCTCTTTCAAGGAAGGCCTGAAGACGCACGAGCAATTCCCCGTCGACGAGTCCGCAAGCTCGGAACAACCGCCGACGCCGTCGTCATCGACGACATCGTCCTCCGTCGTGCCATTTGCAGGTAACCGCAACATAGACGGCTTCAGCAGCAAATTCGGCACGTGTAACTTCGCGCCGAGGAGATCCAGGAGCGACGTCGACGTCAAGGAGAGACGCGACAGGAGGAGGCGCTCACCAGTGGAGGACTCGACGATGAAGGCGAAGCTCGAGGGGAACGTCGAAGGGACGACAACGGGGCTCAAGAGATACTCCGTAGGGGATTACCTACGGCAACAGATCATGGACGACTTACGTACACGGAGCACGGTCGGCAAGAGCCCAGAGGAGATCGCCAAAGACAGGTGCAGGAAGGTCAAGGCGTACTTGAGGAGCCAGAGCGAGACCCTGCTGAATCTGGTGCGTGAAGAAAACGAGACGGCGGACGTTAAGACCGAATCGCTGAGGAAGAACGCCGAGAGTCGCAGATTGAAGAGAAGCGACACGGCGGAGAAGAAAACGACGGAAGAAAAGCGAAGAGCGAAGCCGTATCTGCGCACCCGGAGCGCCGTGGTACCGCCCGAAGGGGACCGCGAGCCGATAAAGGACGACATGAACGAGGAGGAGCTGGCGGAGATTCGGGCGTTCCTGCGCGAGAAGATACAGCGGCGGATGAATATGGAACAGGCCGTTCCCGCCGAGCACGCCGGTATCAGGAAGAGATACTCGGACTACAGTCACGGGAACGATCGTGGGAACTACAGGACGCGAAAGGTGCGCAGCGAGACCAACATCATCCGATTCGATCCCGAAGTGCTCGAGAGGGAGAGACTAAAGTCCTGCGGGCAACTGGAGAAAGAGAGGCCCACGAAGGGAGTATCCCCGGAAGATCCGTCGCTCCGGGGACAATCGCGTAACTATCGGCGATCGGGCAGCGACGTAGCCCTGCTCGAAGCCGCGGAACCGGACGATCGATCCAAGCCGCAGTTGAAGAGAGAATCGTCGAGCTTGGAGAGGAGGAAGCTCTATCGGAAAACCAAGAGCGACGTTTTGCTCGGACAAGCCAACGCGGAATCCGCCCGGGACCTCGGCAATCCCCCGAGGCGCATAAAGAGCCAGGAGAACGTCGAAAGATCCTGGAGGGAGTACAAAGAGAGGAAGAGGAACGAGAGGCTCCGCAAAGAGTCGGAGAGAGAAGTGCCCGAGGAGGACTTTATGAGTAAGCCGAGGTGGAAGGACCTGCAACGCGATCTCTGCTCTTCACGGGGCTGCAAGGTGTGCCAGAACCTGCGGAACTGCGTGGACCCGCTTCATCAGTCTCGTCGCGCGCCCCACCGCGAGGACGAGACCGCCGACTCGTCGAAGGTCCAAGTGAGAGATCGCGGCAACGACATCGGCAGCGTGTCCGCGATGAACGTCAATTCCCCGGACTTCGGCTACAATTCGATCCCGAAGAGCGCCTTCAAGGACTACCGGGAGCTATACGCTCGCTCGAACGTGAAGAAAAGCGACACCTTCAAGATCATCGACGGCAGCGAGGAGATGGGGGAACGCGCGGAACACTCTGACTCGAAGATAAATGCCGACGTTTCCGACAGCGATCTCGGCTATCTGAACGGCGAGGGCTCGCTGGCCAACAAATCGAACGAAGACATCACCAGGGATTACTTCAAGAGAGTTTACGAGCTGCTCAAGAGGAGGCAGGAGGAGACGCGAAAATCAGCGGACGGAGGCGGCGAGTTTCCGGGCCACGATGACTCTTCGTCCTCGAATTACGTCGAGGAGATACAGAGGAAGAGGCATCGCCGCCGCAGAAGAGACAAAAGCCCGCAAGGTAAGATACCGTGTGAAACTCTGTGACAACGCAATTACAATCGGCAATCTTGCGGAATAATTCGCGTTATCCGAACAGATTATTACGACTCGATCGCTTGTATAGTTATTAATTGTAATTAATATTATTTTATTAATATTACCACTGGCCGACGAGTGACGATATGTTCTATTGGAGTAATTATGTCACTGATAATAGACATAATTATTCGAACAGTTGATTTTAATAATAATGTCATGTTGTCATATTTATGTCGCTTTTTATGTTACGCTAGATTCTAGATTTTAGTACACTATTTTGTAATTCTTCTTAAAAAGTATACTGAAGAAGAAAGTGATACCGTTCAAGTAATATTTACTTGATTCGAGTAAAATGGTTACTGTAATAGCCAAACCCCTGGCAAATATTTACTACGGCCGGTATTCATGGTCGGATCTTATATTTAAGGCCATCTTAAAGCATCTAAAGATAAACTTAAAGACGGTTTTAAATATAAAGTCCGACTATGAATACCGGCCTAGAAGCAGAAATGTCATTGACTTTATACAATTTCCTTCGTACAAGTAGACATTTACTTATATATGTTAAAACAATTGCGACAAATATTAAATTTATAATATTGAGAATACCAAAGAATTTATTTGTAGCAAATATTTACACTGGACAGAAAAATCGAAATTAAAAAAGACTATTAAGTTTCTTCAAGGAAAAAGAAGTAATATATAATTAAAATAAATACTTTCTTAAATTTAGAACTATTGTAGACTTACATTCAATAATTAATTTACAAATTAAAGTATTATTATATTCAAGTAAATATTTATTGCAAGCTATTCAAATATATTTAAACTGATTATATTAAATATTACTTGATTTAAGAGATTGAGAGACAGGTAATTATATTTACTTGATTTTAGCATTTTTTCTGTGCAGAGATAGTATATTCAATGTGAAAAACTATTCGTACGTAATCACTGGAAAAAAAAGAAAGGTCGACAGACGTGTAAAACTCGAGCTAGGAGAGAGGTTTAAAGGAATACCACCCGGGAAATACGGAAACTCCGGCAAAACAGTAATTACAAGCGATGCCTGAGAACTTTAATTTACATTGCCTGCGATGCACATAACTATCTCTTCACAGGATGGTACGCCTGATATCGCCCTGCGCCTTTTACTAATGTGAAAAGTTCTGACGTGAAAGCACACCCCGCCTTTATGTTGTACCCACTTGTATTTATACGACGATGTCGTATTTCGCGGTGTTTCAAAAATATTTAATAATCCAAGAATGGCAAAAGTTTTCGTATCTTATCAAAGCAAACTACTCGTGATTTACGCGTGTCCCGACGTCAACTTTTAATGCGATTGCTCGTCTCTTTCACCGGCAAAATAAAATGCATTACTAAAAACCGCACAGCGATGTAGTGTTGGCGGCATTACGTTGCAATTGCGTGATAAATAAAAATGCGTAATACGTAAAAACTAAATAGTAAATAAATAGACACGTCAAAGACGCTTGTATATATTTGCAGGGCTTCGTTGTTCTCGCGATTTGACGGAATATCGAGACGTCACTCAGGATTCGTGGCAGTTAATTTCCCCCTTTTTCACGAAGTAGTCCGCTGTGGAAAACTCCGTTTTCGCTTTCAATGCATTTTCTTACGATTTCCAGCCGTTCGTCTCTAGCCTTCCAATATCCGTTCTGTCGACCCTTCAAACTTTGAAGAGATTCCTACTTCCACCGCGCGCGCGGCTCCTCTCGTAGGATAATTAAATTTACCTCGGCGGCGCGAGGTATTGACCTTACAACAAATTGTGAAAGATGCCTTTGTTAGGGTGACGAAATTTTCCGCTCCCCACGAATAATTATATTATCCGTCAATTCTCCGATAATCATTGTCTTCTCGTAAATGTTTATTAGTCAAATTAGCGAATAAATGACGCGTAATTTCAGGACAGCATATCCTGAATAACGTCATTCGATCGTTAGAAAGAGCCGAGGAGAAATAGCGTAGCGAAGTACTTCCGTGTCATTTAAATGTCAAACATCTCAGCAGCCATTCGATGAGATTTAACAAACATTAACCTTCAACTTTTATGAATTATAAAGCGCGACCTTTCCCTGTGGACCGGATTGGATAGATTTGACCTCGTAAGAAAAATACCGAGCGGATCTCTCCGAGTTCCGGAAGCTCTTTCTCTCTTTCTCTCCGGCATTATCAATTCTTAGAAGTCTTACGTAAACTTCAAGACTTTCGGCTTAAAGGCTCGCAAGCTCTCCCCGTAAAGTTTATGAAAATCACGTGCGTTTAAGACAGCTCTCTGGCGCGCACTCGTCTCTGATCTGCTCGCCAGCTTTCGCGGGAGAATCTTGTTATTACGACGAGGGAAACGAGGTATGTGTGTGTGATCTTTTGACCTATAGCCGCTTTAAATTTCAATCTGAGAACGGGGTGTGCAACCGCAGCGCGCCGCTTCACATTCTCTCTCCCACGAGATAAATATTTCAATATGTGCCTGCGCGCTGAGAAAAGACATAATTTATCGTCTTCTATTGGGAGGTTATTACGCGAAGCTCCCCGCACAATTATCTCTCTATCGTGAACATCCCGTTAAAATTTGCAAAAATTCCTAAAAGAAATAAATTAACGGGCCAATTATCTTAACGATATCTGTCATTACATTTTCTGATGCGCGCACTACTCGGCAAATATTATTTATGTGATTAAAATTAAAGTAAAAGATATTGATAAAGTATCTAGAATTCTATATATATTCTATAAAAAAAATATTATAACGCTTAAGAGGCTTGAGGAGGCCTTAAGATACTCGATAACGATCTTACGAATTTATACCAATAACGATTGTCTAATGAGTTCGATATGCAAATAAACCAATGATATCCCGCGGAATGATATCCAGCTGAGCGAAATAAATCGCGCGAGTAATTAAATAACCCTATCCGTTCCGTCGGCAGGAAAAAATCGTCAGCGCGGGGAAAAGTTCCGACATGTTAATTAAAATATATCACGGCGCTCTCCCTGGGCATCTGCATACATAAATAACAAACACAAGAACACTGCGGAACGTCCGGTGATGGCTGGTGCGAGATTCAAACGAATCCTCCCTTCCAGCCATATGACGTCACATATACCGCTCCGTGTACAAACGCACGAAGCGGAAGCTGGCACGCACGCGGTGCTTCCGCTACATATCCCTCGCAAGAAACGGCGCAAGAAATGAGAATTCTAGCAGGTAATTTACAGGCGGTAGAACAAACGCGCGACACACCCGTCTCCGTCAGAGCTCGCGAAGATCAGATCGACATCGAATTTCGCGGCGTTTCCGGTATCGAATCGCATGCATACGCGCTCGCACTGCTTCTCGCAAATATATACACGTATCGACACATCGTCGATCTAAAAATAAACCCTTGTGTATTAGTGGCATTAACTTCCACCTGAATCGTGTACCTATGTTTAATAGTGATATTGTTCGGCCATAATTGTTTGCAACCTCCTTTTCTCAACCCCAATCTTTTCTTATATACATTGCAAATCTAAGTGCTCAATAAGAGCGCACTTATGTATGTAAAATTATGTGTGTGATTTAATTTTCTCTATACAAATTATACACTTCATCGAATAAAGAAGAATTAGACTCATACATTCAAACATATAATTTAACATATTATTAGTGTTTCTCGATGAAAAGTTCAATAAAAACTTAAGGATTTCCTCCTAACCTCTAATATTTAATTTTTAATTTGCTCTGTAATTAAAAAATACCGAATCTTTCAGATAATAATAAATATAAAAATAATATAAATTTACGATACGATAAGTTTATTACAAAAGTATATACTTGGAAAAAAGATATGTTTCATCTATAAAATTCAATATGATAATGGTTAATTAATTAACGTCTAATGAAGGTTTGATTAATCAATGTTTAATTAAGGTTAATTAATTAACGGTGCAAGCTTTGGTTAGAAAAGATGAAAGGGAATAAGAAAATATAAAAATTACAAGTTTTAAATGTGTAATGCAATATTTAAACGTATAAAATGTATGCGAATGTACTCAGCTGCATAAAATAAAACAAAGAAAACGTGTAGCAAAATAATACGCGTAAAGACGGATATATAAAAAGTTACTTGATATATTTAAGCGTGTAAGAATTATACACTTGGATTTACAATGTATATCCAAAATTATCATGAACGGCGCTGATGGTTAAACTTGAAAAATAAATCATTATCATGATTTTAATCTAATTCGATTACGTAGAGGTGCATTATTTTAATATTTTAGCCGGTTATATGACATTATTTATTTAGTTGAAAAACTACCACAGGCATGTTTCCAGCGGATAACTGCATACAAAAAGTTGCTCACTCGTTACCCGGCAAGTCAGCCTGCACGATGCAACGGGCTCTCGGGAGTTCGCGAACATCGAGAACTACCTGCACCGATAATGACTGGCGCAAAAGCGGAAACGATGCTTTCGGCAACTCGCGATTTAAGCTCGCAGTGCGGCAAGACTCGGGAATAATTATAACGAAAGTCGGCGAAGAGTTGATTGCGAGAGAAAGAGAGCGGGAGCAACCTTGTAATTTTCGACGGTGGAACGGCGCGCGGAATTGCCGCGTGCACCGGAAGGGCCTGCGCGCCCGGTTCTTACGACGGGTTTTCGACCAGGGAGATTAGCGTCGCGAAAATGCAACGGTGCAGCGCGCAACGTATGCCGCCGACGTCTCTCCCGTGTGCTCTGGCGCGCGATCTCCCCGTTCTCTTTAGCCCGGATTCGCGCATATCTTGATTACATTCCCGCGGTATCTGACCGTCGTCCGGAGTCAAAAGTCGTCCGTTCGTGCCAATCCTGGTGTCCGCGCAATTTCATTTAAATACATCGCTCTGCGGTCGTCCGGAGTTATCAAAAATAAACAATAACTCGCATCCATTTGGATGAAACGACCGGACGATTCGGCGATGACAAAA